AGCAGTTTGCACGAGAAATTAAGCAGAATAACACAATTCAAGCCTAATTCTTGTGTTACTGGTTTTTAAATCCGTGTTTACCACGGCAGCAGGCTGGCAGGGGATTATTGGTCCCGGTGCCAGGGCTCCCCGTGCACAGCCGCTCCCTCCTCGGGCACACGTGGCTGCTGCCCCGGCGAGCTCAGCGCCGCTGGCCCTGCACACAGACAGGCAGAGGCAGCAAAAGGGCTGCTCTTCTCAAAGAAAACAAAAAATTAAGGAATTCGATCTCTACTCCTTTGGAACACAGCTTTTAATTTAACAAGGGCTTTGGGAAATTGTTCCCCAACTCACCCCCTAGAAATTAAAATGAACAATTTTCATTACCACTTTCACATAGCTTTGTCCAGAAACAGAAAAGATGTCACAACCTTACATCCCCCTCTATTCCGCATAGGCAAACCTCGGGAATTTGGGAGGGAAGGACCCGAGAGCCGATCCTCTCCCTGGAGCTGTGGGCAGGGGGGCACCCAGCTGAAGAAGTGAAGGGAACACCAGTGTCCAGGTCCAGCAGAAACCCTCAAGCGATGCTGAGCTACAGAGAAACCTTCAGCTCCGATCAGCCCGAGCTCCTCCTGAGCTCTGGAAGCTGCAGGATCCCCAGCTTTGCATCCACTGGAGGGCAGCTGCTGCAGTGTCGTTTTGCTAAAAAGCTCAGTGCAGCCTGGGGGTGGAGAAGCATCTCCAGAGCAGAGTTTGGAAGCAGAAAGCCGGTGGCTTTGGTAGGCATCATGCAGGACAGCAGGTCTGCCAAACAAAGCACTGAAGGTTCACCTGAAGCCATTCCCATGGAGGGAGAGTGCCCGACCCTGCGCTCAGGCAGGGAGGGATGCTTGGGTGAGATGGGGGGCAGGGAAAGTACGGGCGTCCCAGGCAGGAAGGGTGGGAAGGACAACGGGCAGAGCCGCTGACCTCTGCGGTGGCCATTTACTGGCATTTGCCTCCCCAGGCTCGTAGCCTGAGTCAGCCCGGACGCCTGCGTCCCCAGACGCGCGCGGGTCTCGTGCCAGGCAGCCTCGCGAAGGGGAGCACCAGACAAGGGGGAAACTTGACGTTGAACTGGCAGGCGGGATGAATGGGAGGAAGCGCAGCCCTCGTTCTTGGAAAACAGTCATTAGCGCTGCATTGTTTTGGGAGCGTTCTTACAGCGTGTTTTTCGGTCAGACCATTCTTTCTGTACAGGGCTTAGCGTAACAGAAACAACAAACACGAAGCCGCATCAGCCTTACACAGGAGGCATTTTGGAAGCTGCCGTTTCCTTCTTCCCCAGGAAAGCATCCTGGTGACTCAGCAGTACGGGGCGGATTGGCAGCCCTACAGAGGAGAGGAACATTCCCCAGAGAATCCGGTGATTTTCAACCTTAATAACACACAGGCTATTTCACTCACAACGTTTGAGACCCCCCTGCTGACCAGCAGCAGGGCAGAGATGCTGTAAGGGAGAAGAGAGGAGCAGGGAGGCCCTAGGGCTACAGGAGGGGGTCTGGAGGGGTGTTGGCCTCTGGGCTAAGACAGCCGCTCCCAGTTGGCCCCGAGCTACTGCTCCCCTGCCCACCACAGCTCCTGGCCATACTGGGGCAGCCCCAGGGCTCCCAGTTACTCTGGCCCCTGGGGGTACACAGCCAGAAGGCACCAGGGGGGCACAAGGCAAGAGTCAGGGAGCCAAAACCACGTGAAACTGCATAACCTGTGCATGTGCCAGGGCTGCAAACCCAGCTGAACCCGGGGGCTCCCCGGCCCCCCCCAGCATGATGGACCCCAGAGCAGCTTATGGAGAGCTTGCTCGGCACCCAGCC